CGACCTCCTCTCCGGCCCTTGCCTTCCATACAGATTCTCGACTCCCCCCCCCCCGCATGGCCCTGCTGGGGCCTCCCCGTTCAGACGCCAAAGCACCTAAGCTCCTGGCAGCCTCCTTGCCTGGCACACGGGGCGTGGGAGGGTCCGGCGCAGCTGCCTCTCGCTCGCCCGCCGGCTCACAGATGCACCCGTCTGCCTCCATCCCGCAGTCCTGCTCCCGGCCCTCCTCTTCCTCCTCCAGATCCACTGTGGGGGACACACGGACTGTGAGATGAAGGGAGAACAGGGGACACCTCGACCCTCGCGGCCTGGGCCAGGCCCGTGCTAGAGCGCATCGCGGTCTCCTTCTCCGGGAGACACCCAATCTGGTGCCCCAGTCCGCCAGGTCCCCCTCCCCCCTCCCTGCACCTGTGGCCCTGAGCCCAGCGACACCTTTCACCCACGGGCAACGGCTCCAAGGGTCGCCGTGCCAGCTCAAAGGTGCCCAGCGCCTCTCAAGCGGCAGGTGTTGGAGCTCCGGCATCCCTGCAAGAGGCCGCCTCTGCCCTGCTCCAGCGCCTGGTTCGTGGGCACTCGGCACGGAACGGATGGCCCAACTGAGCCCATGTAGCGGGGAGGGCGGGGTATAAATTGAATAAAATAAACAAACAAACTGCACCCTGCGGGCACCGACGACAGGGCAGGGCAGGCGTGGCCCAACGCAAAAGGCGCAGAAACGCCAAGCAAGGCCTGGCCCACTCTGAGCAGCCTCAGCTCTGTCCCTGTGCTGGGGGGGGGGCTTCTGGGTCCCCCGTGTTCTGCGCGATCCCTGCTCCCCCATGCCCACACAGCCACCGCCTCTTCCACCGGCCAGATGGGGCTGGCCCAAAGCTGCCCAGGCTCTGCGGGGTCCGGAAAGCAGGCAGGATTGGGGCAGCCGTCGCCCTCCGTGGGGGGCTCATTCTGGTTTCTCCCCAGCCTGCCCTGCAGGGTTCCAGGCTGTATCCTGGAGCAGCCAAGGCAACTCTGAAGACGCCTCGGCCAGACAGAGGCCCAGCCGGAGCTCTCGTGCCCACTGCCCGCAGAAGCAGCCTTCTGGTTCTGGCTTTAAAAGAAGACTGTTTTAAACAGATTTCTTTTTTGTACACAATCCATTAGTGCTCGATATTTAATAGATTTTTTAAAGGCTCGGAAAGATGCGTGGAGCAGAGATCCGTCAAAGGCTACAAGCTGTGCTGAGTAATTGGAATCTCCCGGTCCGGAAGCAGGGCTTCTCTGGAGGCCGGTGCCGGGAGGCGGCCTGGACCTCTAGGCCCCTGTTTGTTCGTCCCGAGTTCAGCAACTTTTTTGTCTTGTTCTGTTCGTCCCGAGTGAACAGACCAGCCCTCGGGGCCTTCCCTGCATGGGCCCGGGCCCCAGACGTCTCTCTCCTTCCGAGAGCAACTTTCAGCCCATCCCGCAGGCGACTGGCCTGGGAGCGTCCTCAGTCCCAAGCGGAGAGGCCAGCTCCCTCCTGGCCCGTCCTGGACCCTGACCACTCCGGTGTGTGGGAAAGGCCCGGGGCCTGCTGCTCCAGGTCAGGCGGCCCAAACCTTGGCTTGCCGCTCTGCCTCCACCAGCCCCAGTGGCCCTGGGGAGCAGCGAGGGAGCTCCGCGTCTCCACGGCAGCGGCGTCTGGCACGGCTCCTACCTCCTGGCGAACGAGCCAAACCCGCCTGTGCTGCCGGAGGGCCTGGGGCACTGCAGAGGCATGCCTGCCCTCCCACTTGGCTCCAGAAGGTGTTACTTCGCCTCCAGCGCCCTGACTCACCTCCAGAGCGGAGAGGCCTACGACGTGGGGCGGCTGCAGAGCTGCTGGTGCTTCTTGAGAGGAGGAGGAGGAGGAGACCAAGACACCCCACACCTGAAACCACGGCAGAGTTCGAGAAGGAAATCTGCTTTCAAAACTGATGCTGAAAAGGGGGGATGTGACTGTTCCCTCTAAGCTGTCGAGCCTTGTGAGCAGAAATTCTACTTTCTGAGCTAGCAGCATTAAAGTTGTGAGTGAGCAATTTGGCTACTGTATACATTAGTTTGCTCTGGAGCCCCATCCTTCCTGAGCTAAGACAGAAATGTGTGAGCCAGAGGCTAAAAAAATGTGAGCTAGCTCACACTAACTCAGCTTAGAGGGAACACTGGATGTGACAGGCTCTCCTCCTCTTCAGTCCAGTCTCCCAAGTTCCAAAACAGGGGCCTGGCCCCTCCCCCCCCCAGGAGAGGACTGGAAGCAAGAGGAAGGTGGGCTGGAGCAGCAGGAGCAGGGGCGGGGGCGGGGAGCTTGCTAGTGGGACACACACACACCCCAGGCAGGCAGAGAGGGACCTCCCCAGGGGGACAGTGCTCTCGGGAGCGCCTTTTCTTTGTGAGCAGCCCCCAGAGTGCTTCCTCCCCAGGCCTCGCCTCAGGTCTAAAATGCAAAATTATTGCCACCTTCTCTCCCACCCGTTCTTAGGAATCTTCACCACCACCCAGCCCACCCGACACGCCAGTCCCAGAACCAAAGCAGGCATCTTTTCTGCGCAGCAAGACCAGACGGAACGGGGGACTGGGGCTCGCCCTCGCGTGGGATGGAGCAGGTCGAGAAAGAAGTCCTTTCCTCCCTTTCTCACCATGCAAGAACTCCTTGTGGGCACTCCAACGAAATTGCTGAGTGGTCAGGCTAGAACGGATGCAAGGAAGTCCTTCTTCACCCAAAAGAGTGATGAACACATGGAATTCACTGCCACAGGAGGGGGTGGCGGCCACAAGCCTGGACAGCTTCAAGAGGGAATCGGATAAGCATCTGGAGCAGAGGTCTATCGTTGGCTATTGGCCACAAGGTATAGATAGGGACTCTCGGTCTGGGGAAGGTGATGCTCTGTCCTCTTGGTGCTTTGGGGGGGGCAACAGTGGGAGGGGCTTCTATTGCCCTGGCCCCACTGCTGGGCCTCCTGATGGCACTGGTATTTCTGGCCACTGTGTGACACAGAGTGTTGGACTGGATGGGCCATTGGCCTGATCCAGCATTGGCTTCTCTTATGTTCTTATAAGAGGGAACTGGATAAATACATGGAGCAGAAGTCCATCGGTGGCCATTAACCACAAGGTGTAGATAGGAACTCTCAGGCTGGGGCCACCTGGTGTTTTTGGCCACTATGTGACACAGAGTGTTGGACCGGAGGGGCCATTGGCCTGATCCAACACTGGCTTTTCTTATATTCTTATGGATAAACACATGGAGCAGAAGTCCATCGGTGGCCATTAGCCACAAGGTGTAGATAAGGACTCTCAGGATGGGGCATGGGATTCTCTGTATTCTTGGTGATTGGAGGGGGGCAACAGTGGGAGGGCTTCTAGTGTCCTGGCCCCACTGCTGGACCTCCTGAGGGCCCCTGGTGTTTTTGGCCACTGTGTGACAGAGTGTTGGACTGGATGGGCCACTGGCCTGATCCAACACTGGCTTCTCTTCTGTTCTTAACCACGACGCTTGCTTGCCCCCAAGGGCACTGAGTACAGATTTGGGGCTCAATTCGCCAGGGAGCCTCACCCTGCTCTTGCCCAGGGCTTGGCTGGCACAAAGGCTGCTTCTGAGGGGGCGCTGAGGTTAGCGGGGGGGGGAGGCCCTCCCCGGGGACTGAGCCGCAGTTCTGCAGGAGTGGGCTCACAGGGGGGCACCTGCTGGAAGCCACACCCTGGGATGGAATTCAAGCCTCCCCAGGCCCCCGTGGAATGCTCCCCCCTCAACATGCCGCCTTCAAGGTCCGCCTTTCCAGCCATGCCCGGCGCACGGCCCCTCCCCCACTGAGCTTGCACCCGCGTGACAGGGAGGCAGGTGGATTGTGGCCTCTGGCTCCCTTCCTCATCTCCCCAAGACCCAGATTTTAAGCTGTACGACCCACAGGGCACAAACCTACCACCTTGTGCTCCCTGAAGACAGTTCAGGGGCACCCTTGGGACCAACAACGTGTGCGTTTGCACTCAAACGCTTGTACCCAGAATGAAACACTGTTGGTCTTACAGGCACCACTGGACTCAAACCGTCTTGCACTCTTGTTTCAGACCCCACCTGAATCCATCGTGATGAAAATGTTCCCTCTAAGCTGAGTTAGTGTGAGCTAGCTCACAGTGTTTTAGCCTCCGGCTCACACATTTTTGCCTTAGCTCAGGAAAGATGGGGCTCCAGAGCAAACTAATTTATGCAGCAGCCAAATCGCTCGCTCACAACTTTAACACCAGTAGCTCACAAAGCAGAGTTTTTGCTCACAGGACTCCATATAGCTTAGAGGGAGCATTGCTGTTGATGATAATCATCTTGCACGTGGAAGTGCCAGGTTTCTAGGGAAGGGCGTGCCCAGCTCCACCCTACTGGGGATGGGCACCCCGCTTTTGGCGGGGGGGGGCACTGGCCCCACGGCAGAATCGTCTTCTCTCCGCCCTAAGCGGCCCCAGTCACGGCGAGGGGGCCGGTGCGTCACCCGTGACCACTTCAGGCAAGAATCCAGATGGAGAATCAAGCGGCTCAGAGCCACGATTCACCATGACTCACTCATGCGCCAGACGGCAGAGGAGCGTGGATGCACGAGCACACCCCCGGCTGCTGACCAGTGACCTCCGTTGGAGCACGGCCTTCCAGAGAGCTCCTTTGCCACCCCACCCAAATGCCCACTGTGACGCCTTCCTCTCTGCTGCTGAGCCGCCGGTCCTGCTGGGGGGCAGGTGCTGGACAAGGCGGCCTCTAGCATCCCCCTCCCATGGCCTGGCCCAGGTGTCCAAGGGGCCCTTTAGCCACCTTTCCCAGTAGAAGCCCACCCCCCAGAGAAAAGCAGCTGCCCCACCCACCCCTCCCTCCCTCTCTCTCTCACAGCTCTGAATCAGCTCAGGGCAGGAGGCAGCAATGCACCCAAGAATGCTCTGGGACAAGAGAGGGTCTGTGGCGGATGCAGCCTGGATACTCCTGACACGCTGTCGGCTACGTTGCGCTGCACCTTTCCTCCAGAAACCCCTGCGTAGCTGGCCATGCAAAGAACGCAGGGGAACTGCACCCCCCACACTGCACCCTTAAATCAGAGGCAACAAGCAAGGCTGTGCAGAAGGGGGGGGAAGTTGCCAACAAACCTGGAGAAAAATGCCCTGTTCCTTTCATCGTGGCTTATGGTATGGAAACGGCTAGCTAAAGTTTCCCACGGCACGGAGATGAACCACATCCTACGAAGCCTGCATTCGAGGGACACTTTCTTCTCCAGGCAGCCGGCAGCCCTACAGAGAGCAGCGGCACTTACGGGGCTTCCAGATGTGCCGCTGCTGAATCCTAGTCCTAAAAACCCAGGAAATGATTCTGGTCTTCAGGCCACGCAGAGGTTTTGGGATCACATTGAGGCCTTTCAAACCCCCCCACCACCACCACTACTACTGAGCAAACAGAGGAGAGGGTGGGCAGAGGTCCAAAGAACTACGCAGGGTCCAGGGCACCGCCCTGCCCTGGATCCCGTTTCCCCTTCCCCACACCGGTGCCCCCTCAGGGCCGTCCCCCCCTGTGCCAGCCTCACCTGTTTCCAGCCCCAGAACTAGCGCCATCGCTCCATCCCAGCAGCCCGGAGGGCTCCCACGCCTGCCTGCCTGCCTCTGTTCCTTCGCCGCGTTCCCACAGCAGAGGGCGAGGTCACACGTGACACGCTCCGCGGATGTGTGAAACTGCAGGTGAGTCACCGAGATCTTTGCCTCCAACCACGTCGGGCGAGAGTCCCAAAACAGGAGCCACGTGGGAGAGGGAGGCATGCGGCTGACTCATCCCACCAAAACAATTCAGCCTCAGTTTCTCCTGGCTTTGGGCCCTGGGTGTTTTGCCTGGCTTCAGCCACCCTGTCCAGCGGTTGCCAAGCAGCTCCCAATTTCAGGAACCAAACTCCTTTTGACAAGAAGAGGAGGAGGTTGGATTTATACCCCCCGCCTTCACTACCCAAAGGAGTCTCAGAGTGGCCTACAGACTCCTTTCCCTTCCCCTCCCCACAACAGACACCCTGTGAGGTAGAAGAAGAAGAGATTGGATTCATACCCCCCACCTTCACTACCCAAAGGAGTCTCAGAGCGGCTTACAAACTCCTTTTCCCTCCCCCTCCCCACAACAGACAGAAACCCTGTGAGGTGGGTGGGGCTGAGAGAGCTCTTGACAGAAGCTGCTTTTTTCAAGGACAGCTCTTGTCAGAACTAGGGCTTGCCCAAGGTCATCCAGCCAGGTGCAAGTAGAGGAGTGGGGGAATCAAACCCGGTTCTCCCAGATTAGAGTCCACGCACTTAACCACGACACCAAACTGCCCCCCCCGACTCACCTGTCCAAGACTCCAAGTGGAGACCAGTGTTCTAAACTGAGTTGGTGTGAACCAGCTCACAGTTCTTTAGCCTCCGGCTCACACATTTTTGTCTCCGCTCAGGAAGGATGGGGCTCCAGAGCAAACTAATTGATGCAGTAGCCAAAACCGCTTGCTCACAGCTTTAAGGCCAGCAGCTTGCAAAGAAGAATTTTTGCTCACATGACTCCACAGCTTAGAGGTTTGGTGGGGACGCCGCTCACTTTCCGAACAAGGCCTTGAGAGGTGGTCCTACCCTGGGGTGCCACAAATCCCCTGAAAGAGGGAAACCCTTTCCCACTGGCGGACGGATGGATCACTGGCCAGTGCTTGCTGGGGTGTCTGGAACGAAGGCGGACCTCAGTGGGCCGTGGGACCCAGCAGATGGTTCCGGGAGGGACTCCTGGCCTTGGGCTGTGGGGAAAGAGCGTGTAGAAGAGGGCAATCCCGTGGGCAATCCCCTGGCACCGAGTGGGGGGCGGGGCCCCGTGGCCGGGCATTAGCCCTGAACTGCCGAGGAGCTTCCCATGGAAGGAGCAGCCTTTATATTCCCTTGGCTGGTGGTCTGTGGCAAGACTTACTTTCTCTGTTTCTCCTCTAAATGGTCACCTCCTTACAGTGCACACTGGCGGGGGGTGGGGTGGGGTGGGGGGTGTCCGCAAGGACTCAAATCCACACTTGTAATGAAGATTCAAGGAGGAGGAGATGGAGTGAATGGGCTTGTGGCTGTGCCCACATAAGGCAAGACAGGAGGGCCGGACTCCACAGCAGTGACACTCCCAGGCAGGCAGGCAGGAGAAGGGATGACGGCCCCGGTCCCACTCATGAGGCAGGGAAACACCAAGGACAAAAATCCCTTTGACTCCTCCTCCTCCGCTGTCCTATGCAGAGAGGGCTGCACTTCCCTCCAATGAAGGGGGGGGGGGAGTTGCAGAAACATCCCTCATGCATGCATGCACGGCCACTGCCCTGTGGGGGTCGTTCTCACCCCACCCGCGCTATTCAACAGACCGGCCTTTGGCTTCTTCCCGGGGTCGGGAGGCTCCTTCCTTGCCCTGACCCTCCAACCCCCCCCTTCCCCCGCAGACTCCCAAGCCTGCAGTGCCGAGAGACAGGCCCAAATGCCCTGCTGACCTTCCCACCCCAATCCCGGGTGCGCCTCAGAGGGTCGGGGATGGGGCGCTCTCGCCCGCCGTCCGGGCTGCTGACCCTCCAGGCCTGGGGGAGCCCTCGGAGGAGGGGGGGGGAGAGGAGAGGAGGCGAGGGACGGGATGCCCCAGGCGCGGAGGGAACGGCCCTTCGGGCAAAGTCAAGGAGGTCCGCAAGGCGCACAACAGCCCTGCAAGGCAGGCGCAGGCCGGCAGCGACCGGTGTCTCCTTTCAGCGCCCCGTCCCGGCCACCCCGTCGCAAGAGGGAAAGAAAAAGGGGTTCCTCACCCGGCGGGGCTCCCGGCCCGCACGTCCCCGGGGCCCCGTCCTCCGGTGGCAGCGGCGGCTGCACCCCCTCGGCCATGCCGGAGCGACCGATGATCCGCTGCCGCGCGGCCTCTGCAAGGCGAAGCAGGCCGAGCGGTCAAGCCCCGGCGACGCGCCCCCCTCGCTCGTCGGCGCCGGCGGCAGCAGCAGCAGCGGCCCCGCGGACTGACAGGCAGGGGAGGGGCGCCCGGTCCC